GTATTTTATTTATTTTTTCTTTGCTGCGGAGATCCCGAAGACTTTCCAAACTGCATATTTGGTGCTGTAGAAATGCAAATAGTCTGTTCCTTTGTAAACCTTTCAATTGTCAGGCTGCTCTCTTTCAAAATAATAGAGGAGCCTGGAATCGCCCATGCTAAAATTAAGAATTTATAACTGTATGGAACAGATGTTTTCATAAACATTTGCTATAATTAATTTCAACTAGGGGATTGAAGGAACAAAGCAGTTTTTCCCTCTTCAAAACTTTATTGCCTTTTCCCCATACAGCGAACTCAGAAATCTTTGCTTTAATATTGTTAATGAAACAAATTTACTCTTCTGTTTGGTTTTCACTGTGAAAAAGGAAAGCTTAATTTGAACACGATACTGGCCTTTGGAACAATGAACAGATATGTTGAATTTCAAACATTGCACATAAAGAATTAAAATACAGATCGTAAGTCTTTAGGTGCTCATTTCTGAGACTAAAACTCCGTGGTGTCAATTGTCAGAGATTCTTACATATTAAAGTAAATTTTATGCAGATCAGTTTGATGAATATGTATCTGTGGAGTAAATAGTATGAAGGAATTTTATGTTTGAAGAGTTGTGAACCTTGGTGTTACAAAAAGCAAAGGAGTCTCGTGGCATTATATATAGTTTTAATGCATAGTAAAATGCTTATTGTATGTTGATTACCCCTTTATACTCACAATAAAGGTCTGCAATCTGTTAAGCAATTTTTTTTTTTGTTTGCATTATGTGAGGAATGCATTTTGACTAAAATCATTCTTCCATATTTGTATTGTCACTAGTTTTTCAGGGATATTGTTTGAACTGTATATAGATTAGGACTAGAATTTTGATGCTATTGTGAAGAAGAAAAATATCCATACATTATTGTTCTGTTTTTACTAGTTTCTACATATTATACAAACATCATCTAACGAAAAAAAATCTTTAAAGTTTTAAAATAAGCATGGCTTAATTGTTTTACACCTGAAAGAACCAGTGCAGCTGCAAGGATTTTTGAGCAAACTAGAATTCCTGACTGATCTGTCATCTATAAAGTGTGCAAAGAAAAATAGGTAGCTGTCATTAAAATTACATTTCAGCTTTCAATAACCATTTAATGAGTAGCGTAATTATATAAGTATGGTACCTCAAGTACTTCACTCAATAATTAAAAATAATCTCATCTTTAAAGTGAAAGCGCTATAATTATTATTTGACTTAACCAGGACCACTGTTATGATCTCCAGTGGCACCTCAGATTGTTCAAAGTGGTTTTGAAAGTATAAATTAAAATTGGATAAATCATTAAATTATTAAGCTTTAAATATGCTGAAAATGAATATAGCATGAAATTTGGAAGTAATGTTGTAAGAACTGACAACCTTAGACTGCAAGCATGTATTTGTGTTAAAATTTTCCTTGTCTTTAATCATAAAACACTGCATTAATTATTGGGTGTTTTATATCAGCCTGAACTTGAATTTTCACAATGGTTAAATAAATTTTGTTTTTAAACAAGATTTTAAACTTTGATAAGAATACAAAGAAAATATTAAGCAGAGTGCAAACTTGTCAGCAAAGAGATCTATATCTATTCTGATACTTGTGAGCAGAGGAATGCACAGTTTGATTTCCTAAGTAGGAACGCTTTTACCACCAATTCTGAAACTGACAGCTATAAAACCCTTCCACAGTTGACACAAGATTGGTAAATAGTTTATCACTATATAAATAGATGCATATGCGTTGTGTACCCACAAGCAGTCATGCGTGCATGTGTATACACATGTGTACATACATACATATGGATAGATATGAAAATTTTCTCAGTATCAAAACATATATTCAAAAGACAAGGATTTAGAGTTATTTACAAAAGTTAGGAATATAGCCATAGATGAAGGGAATTTCACTCAAGCTTCTTGTCTTAGTAGACCCACCACTGTTTGTGATATGTTTCCCAGCTCTTTTCCGTAAAGAGTCGTGTGCTGAATTTTTGCATCTTGCACGAGATAGCTGTTTTCAGAGAGGTAACGAAGGAGATGATTGAGCAATCTCTGATCTCTCCATGGTTCTTCACATGCTTTTTCACTCTTGTTGAGCACATGCTCAAGGTGCTCGTTGTGCCTGGTAGGTACCCAGAGCATCTTCTTGCTCTTGAAATGAAGGGCTCTGCAGTGCTATCCAGTTTCTTCTTATTGCTTTAACTGGGGGCTGTGCCTTGCACCTTAACAAAGCTTTTGTTTGAGATGAGGTTATACTACAAGCATAGTAATCTTTTTAAAAATAAAAATATAAAAACAGTGTGTATATTTAAATTTGGTTTCTCCTTGTTACAGTTTCTACATGTGGTTTTCAGATAATATTCAGAAAATGTATTTGGCTTCCTCTTTATTCTGGGTTCATCTATTTTATGCTCTGTCTATAGTCTCAAACACGTTCTTACAAAAAAAGTTGCTGCAGGTGACAAGTCTGTGCATTCTGTGTGAATCTAGTACCCTAATAAGTGTACAATTTATACAAATCCTTCTCCTTGTATCTCTGAAATCCAAAGAAGCTGGCATTTAAAATGTTCTTTTTTGACTGTTTAGTAAAAGCATCAATTCCAAGTGATGCAGATTCTCCAGAAACAGATTCCGTCTGTGTCCAGAAGTACCAGCTCCCACCCACCAGAGTCCCAGATCCCTTTAGCCCTCAGTCTCCATGCACAATATAAGACTTAACTAAAACACAGCAAAAGAATTATTTCAGGAGAAACATTGATCATTCCCAGGACAGGGACTTTCTCAGTTAGTACAGCAGCAAGGTATTCAGATGACTTTCAGTCCCTTTGAAGGGACTGCCTTGTTTTACTATTGTATTAAAACCAATGACTCCTCTAGTGCCTCTAGTGCTGAAAGCTGGGTACTTACTTACTTTGTTACCAATGCTTGTTATGGTACTGGTTGTTTCCCCTCTCTTGCCTCCGCAAGTATGATGAGATTTACTTTTTTTTTTTTTTTCTCTTTCCACCAGCTATTGCATTTGAAGTTTGGAATCATTTTCAGGAGGTGCAGGGCAGGGTTGAGGTAGCATCCTCTCTTTCTTCAGCAGAGTCCTTCTTCCCATTTTTGAGTCTCAGGATCTAAAGATTAATATGATGTGGAATCAGTTAGCATTTTTGAAGTAGACCACAAGTTCAGTTACCAACATCATGAATCTTGCATTCATAACCCTTTGGTATGCAACCTAATTTTATCAGAAACTTGCATCGTTATCACTGACTATACAAGTAATCTCTGTTTTCCACTGGGAGTTCACCGTACCTTTCAAAAGCAAGGCTAACTGAAACTTGCCTGCGGAGAGGTGATCCAGGGCATGGATTCCCACAGCTTATTGTCATTAGTTAGTGAAGCACCTGTCCCATTTGTTCTCGTAAATTGTTGACTATGAAAGCTTACCAGGATTTGCTAGAAAGACTTTCAGATAACAGTAGGTGAAATCTAAGGAATCCTCTTTTAAGTCAAATGAATACTTCTCACTTTGCATTGTCATTTTTATCACTTTAAATAACAAGCATCTAAATCTTCATTCAGGATATTATTAACAGATATATTTGTCTTAAAAGGGATAGAGCAGGAAAACAACAAACAAAATCCAACAATAGCAACAAAAAAAGCAACACTCCACTAAATCCTCTCTATGAGAGCTTGATGTACCTGCTCCTATCCAGCTTTGATAGCTGCAGCTAAGATGGAGCAGCCAAAGTGGCTCTCAAAAAGTAACAATAACTTGTCTGAATATGAGATTTGTTAACAGTGGGCGTACAATTAAGAATGATGAAGAATTGCAGTGGTTGTTTAAAGACAGGAAATTGTTGTTTTCTTCTGGGAGAGTGCTTCAGAACAAAGAATAGTACAAGCAGAGTAGTTTGTGAGGGACAGCTGACTCCTGGGGTGTCATTTTAATCTTAGTGGATGTAGCAGATCCCACCAAATGTTCATGGTTGGATCCTGATGAAAAAGAAGCTTTTTTTCACCAAAATTCTGGTTTTCTTCACAGAGCCCAGTAGACCCTTTAGGCAGGACAAATAGTTTATTAGAAAGATGAAAAATGCCATGCTTCACAAAGGTTGCTGTCCTTTAAAAGAGTTCCAAAAGACCTTTTTCAGGATATGAACTTAGCATTGTGAATTAATTTTCCTTTTCAGTTTGACTTTCCACTCTCAATTTTAAAACCTCCAGAACTGCAGTCAGGAAAACAGAGCATGCAAATGCAGCCAAAGTTGTAGAAATAAACATGAATATTCTTTTCAGTTCCATAGGTTTCCATTTCTCATTCTCTTCTCTGTTCCTCTTCTGGACCTCATCTCATAAAAGATTAACTTCTTTTCTCAATGTGGAAGTGTTCATTATAATAATAGTAAGAGAAGTTTTTTGCCAACAGTTGTTCATTCTAAATGAGTGAGGAGTGGAGTGAAGAATGGCATTTCATACATTTCATACTTTTAAAATATCAGGTGTTATGGTTCTGAATTTGTCAGTCTGGAATTACTAATTACAAATATAGACTCAATTAATCTGAGCTGTTTTGTTGTTTGTTTGTTTGTTTTTTCAATTAAAAATAAAAATAAATAAAACTAACCACCTTTCACACAACTCTGTCATTAAAATAAAAAAAATATCTAAGATATCACTGGGGACGTGTTCTTGGGAGGACAAGTTTTCCTGGCACATGGGACACAATGAAAATTTCTAGTAATATAAAATCTTAGATTTCCAGGATATTCAGGCTCTAAATTGAACATGGTGGCTAGTTGTTTCCAGCCACCTGGCCAGCTGTATGAATATAAAGATGCAGAATTGAGAATTTGCCAAGTAAGTTTTATCATAAACTAAAATTAACATGTGCAGTAAAATCAGGTGCAATACTTACTGATGCTGTATTATTTATTACCATGATTTGTCTTATAACAAAGGCATCTTCTTTTTGTTTTGTATTAGGTGGATCAAATGAAAATGGAAGCACACACCACACTTCAGATTCTGCTGGAACATTTATTTCTTATAGGTTCGTAAGTTTTGGTATTTATTTTCCAATTTTAAAAAGTTTGAATGTAATAAATACAGTCTATTTAAAACAAAAGAACAGGTCTGTCTATTGCAAGGCTATTATGTGCTCTAAATTGCACCAGTCAATAGACTGAAGATGAAGGGTTAAATTAAGTAATGACCTGGAAAACTTGTTTTCTAGATTATTTTTTTTTCAGAAAGCTGTTCAGAACACTTAACTAATGAAAGTTTTGGCTGTCTGTAAGCCTTTTTTTTTTTTTTTTGCTTAAATATGTAGTAAAGTAGAATTTTTACCTGAAATAGAAGTTAAGCTAAATGTTGAAATATTTAACTAGTCAGGGTTGCCTTTCTGATTTTCTCCAAAATAACTGGTTCTATGGACCACATGGAACTCTATTTGTTCATTATTGCAATTAAAACAAACAAAACCAGGATTTGTTAAATTTTAAGGATTTTGGACAGTAAGTTAATATTTCAATTCCCTTGTTAGCAAATACCAGTAAAAGAAATATGGTGCTGTGGAACTTTTTGCAGCACTGTCATTAAACTTGAGTTTTGCGTGGGTAAATACCAGAGGATGTCTTGTACTTTAAAGCACAGAAGGGTAATCATCAGATCCGTAGTTTCATCTTTCAGACAGCAAAATACTGCCTCTGCTGAAAATGCTGAATCTGTGTCCCTGTGACTGGTAAATTAATAGTAAGATTTGTGCTAACTAGAATTGCTTCATCTGATTTTGATGCTTAAGTATGGTAAAATAAAACAAGCCTACCATCAGATTATTTTGGATTCATTTAGTAAACTATGATTAATGGCATCTATTTCGTTCTTTCTTTGTAGTCTGCTGTAGTCTGTACTTCGAAGTACTGTGGCCAGGCAGGCAGGAGGAATCTGCCTGTTTGCCTTGTCCTGGTTGTGATTAGGTGGGGAGTATCTCCTGCTCTTGAGCCAACGAGCTCCGTGAGGAGCCTTCAGGTGGTGGGTGGCTGGTAGGGACACAAGTGGAGAACCTGTTGCAGACTGGAGGCTTGAGAGGTTGCTGTGGAAAGCAGAGAGCAAGTAGCTCGGTCTTAAGGAAGTATATTGGGTATACGTGGCAATGGTTTAGCAGCAGGGAGACTGCAGGGGTGAGAAGAGCCTGGAAGCTGCCCCGTGTTACATAAGAGACAGTTTCAGCAGGCTCCAAAAGGGACCTGCCTCTGGCCAGAGCAGAGCCCAAGAGCATCACTTGTTGTGCCTCTGGGAGAGCAGATAATGGAAAGGGAGAATCTGCTGCACCACAGCAGCTGGGAGAGAGGAGTGAGAACAAGCCCTGCAGCCCCCAAGGTCAGTGCAGCAGGAGGGCACGAGGTGCTCCAGGCACGCAGCAGCAGTTCCCCTGTGGCCCATGGAGAGGCCCCTGGTGGAGCAGGCTGTCCCCCTGCAGCCCATGGGTCCCACATGGAGCAGATCTCCACGCTGCAGCTCCCCCGTGGGTGGAGGAGCCCCCGGTGGAGCAGGTGGATGTGGCCTGGAGGAGGCTGCAGCCTGTGGGAAGCCCCCGCAGGAGCAGGACCCGGGCCGGAGCTGCAGCCCGTGGAGAGGAGCCCACGCAGGAGCAGGGGGCCTGGGGGGATCTGCCGCCCACCCATGGGGGACCCATGCTGGAGCAGTTTGCTCCTGGGGGATGGACCCCATGGTATGGAGCCATGTGGGAGCAGTTCTTGAAGAGCTGCTGCCTGTGGGAAGCCCACACAGGATCAGTTCAGGAAGGACAGCACCCCGTGGGAGGGACCTGACGTGGAGCAGGGACGGAGTGACCATGAACGAGCAGCGGAGATGAAGCATCAGGGACTGACTGCAGCTCACATACCCCGTTCCCCTGTGCTGCTCAGGGGGAAAACACAGAAGAGGGTGGATGGGGGGAAGGTGTTTTTAGTTCTTTTTTAGTTTCTCACTGCTCTAGTCTGCTAGTGATAGGCAATAACTTATACTGATCTCCCTATGATGAGTCTGTTTTGCCCATGACGGTGACTTTTGAGTGATCTCCCTGTCCATATTTCAACCCTTCAGCCCTGTCTATCATATTTTCTCCCCTTTTTACTTTGAGGTGGGAGGAGTGAGAGAGCAGTTGTGGTGGAGTTCAGCTGCCCAGCAGAGTAAAACCACCCAAGACTTTTCATAAGGACCTAGAGGGAGCAACAAAGAGTTTGTTGCAGTTCAGACACCCAGAGAAAGCTTCTGGTCTGAGAGCAAGATTGGAAAAGAAAAGTAATGCAGGGATGCAGTTGGCCAGGGCAGCCAAATCCTTCGAATTTGCTGTGTTCCAGTAAATGTTTTGTTCTAATTTAAGTTCTGATGAAACCTAGTTTGGGTGATACAAAACCCTTTGAGGGTAGTTAGAATGTTCACTTTAAGAATAATACGTTAGCAGATCCATTTCAAGTTCCTGGCTCAATTCTCTGTCACATTTGCATTTTCTAACTCCTGCAATATACAATTTTTAAAAAGGGCTCAAAAATACCACCCGGAATAATTTTCATGCTTTTCAGGTGAGAAGCCTATATACAGAGACCATGTGCTGGTTTTGGGTGGGAGAGATAGGATTTTCTTCGTGGCTCAAACAGTGCTGTGTGTTGTGGATTTGTGATGAAAACAGTGTTGATAACACACTAATGTTTTAGTTGTTGCTGAGCAGTGCTTACACAGAGCCAAGGACTTTTCTGCTTCTCACACTGCCCTGCCAGCAAGGAGGCTGGAGGTGCCCAAGAAGCTGTGAGGGGACACAGCCAGCACAGCTGACCCAGGCTGACCCAAGTGATGTCCCATACCATATGGCATCACCCTCAGCAATAAAAGATGGGGGAAAGGAGGAGGAGGCAGGGACATTCAGAGTTACAGCGTTTATCTTCCCAAGTAACTGTTACATGCGATTAAGCCCTACTTCCCTGGAAATGGCTGAACATCTGCCTGCCGATGGGAAGTAGGGAATGAATTCTGTATTTTGCCTTCCTTGCAGGCACAGCTTTTGCTTTACTTATTAAACTGCCTTTATTTCAACCCAAGTGTTTTCTCACTTTTACCTTTCCGATTCTTTCCCCCATCCCTCTGGGGTGGAGTGAGTGTGAGGCTGTGTGGCACTCAGCTGCCTACCAGAGTTAACCCACAGCAGTCCATGACGCAGCCTCTAAAAAATAGGCAGAACAAAATTTAGCCAGATTAGCAAAAGGAAGGAGTTGAGAGTTCTTCTCTGTCACTAATTCCAGGACATATCTAAAGGTTAACTCAAGAGCTTCATCTGTTGTACCTGCCAAAGTAAAATTTGAAGAAGCCAGCTTCAGCTCTGGTTCTATGAGAGTAAGCTGTGGGGTCAGGGTACTAACGCTGTCATCCTACCCCTTCTTCACTCATGCACTCGAGTTGGTGAGCTGGTCCCAAAGGACTGAACTAGCGCAGCTAGGGCAAGGTTTGTGCTGATTTGGATCATGGTGTCAGCCTGCCAAATGTTTGGATGAGGATCAGTGCCAGAGTGAGGCAAGCAACTAGAATATATGCGTAGGAGTAAGTGGGAGGACAAAGGATGGCACCATTTACCATCAGATTGCACCACAGTGAATCCTTGGCCTTCAGTCTAGGCAGTCTGTGGTTCATTGATGGAGGCTGCACAGCCTGAGACAGTATCACTATAGAATTGTGTAGACTGATCAGGTATAAGACAACCAGACTCTAGATTGTGCTGCATCTCCTTTGCATTGTTTTGGTAAAATATCTAATGGGAAATGATTGCAGTGCTGGAAAATTCAGTGCTTAGCACTGACCCATCAGTCTCAGGACTCAAAAGACTTAGGCATGTATGACAAATGTCTTATGCTTATGTTTTGTCAACACTTCTGGAATATTACCCTTTGTTACTACAAACTAATTAGAGCAGTCTTTACAGTGTCGTAAGCTTATTCCAGTGTGCCAAACCATCCTTAGTGCTCCACAAGTAAGTGGAGAATAAAGTTGGCCTTTATATCTCCATATTCCTTAGTCCAAAGTGCGTATAATAAATATGACATTGACTATGAATTCCACTGAAAAATAATCTGTCAGAGAGGATTACAGCTCAACTTAGAAAACTGAAGTTAATTAATATTTTAGAAGAAGTCCCATATACCACTGCCAGAGTATTATTGTTATAATTAGAGGCAAGATGATAAAGCATGATAGTACGGTATATATGTTTGTGTGTGTGCATATGTATGTATATATATGTATATATAAAAGAAACCTCTGGCTTTTAATAGTTGCCAAGCCAGCACCGTTATTAAGTAGTATTTACAGTGTTTAAGGTGTGAAATGAATATTTTCTGCTCAGTGGCAAGTAATTGCCATCATATAATGAGACTGGCTGTAAATTTGCTGGTTGGGTTGAATAGTGTGTTGATAGTTACAGCTCTGGGCTGCATGTTATGTAAAAATGAGCAGCTGATACCTTATGAAAGACTAAAAGGGGAATCTTAAACTACCTTGAAATGTAACGATGGTAAATATATGTTATTTCTTTAAGGACTCATTATGGATTTTTATTTATTTTAGGATATTCTCAGTGAATATTGTTTCAGTAAATTACTGATTTGATAAAACTGATGATAGTCTTGTTTATCCACTGTGTTTCAGTCTAGTTTATTAAAGAGATTGGCTAGTGGTTTTTACTCTAAAAGAGGCAAAGCCGTCATTGGATCATTGTAGATGTCATGCTTGCAGAAGGCTACCAGATGCAAAATTGAATGGGCAATTTTCACTGAAGCAAAAACTGCTTTATGTTTTTTTCAGTAGCAGTATCTTTACAATTTGTTTGGGGGAAGAGGCAACTCCAAATGTATAAAAATATTTAAATGTGAGCGTGTTTTGCAATAGCAAAATCTCAAATTTTAGCAATTGGAAAGTGCTCTTAAGAACATGGTCTTTTTACCACAAAAACAAACAACAACAACAAAAACACATGGGAGTGGCAGAAGGGGGTTGTTACTTGAT